AGAAAAAGATGGAAAACTCCTGAACATTTAGCGAAGTAAACATATCCCTGACCCCAAAGCAAGCAGAGACATCACGAAAAATAGAAAATTACTAATCAATAGCCCTCTTCACCATACATGTTTCAAAATAAATAATACATCATGACCGTGATAGATTCACACCAATCAAGGGAGGATAGTTTAACATCAGAGAAAAAAATTAATGTCATTCATCACATGAGTTAAAGAAAGGAAAAGACCCACACGATCACATTAATTGATGCAGAAAAGTCGTTTGACAAAATCCAACATCCGTTCCTGCTCAAAAACACTCAGCACAGTAAGGATAGAAGGAAACATTTTTGTCAATACCGTAAAGGGCATATATGCAATAGCCAACAGCCAAAATTACTCTCAATGGGGAGAAACTGAAAGCATTTCCCTTGTGCCTGGGAATCAGCAAGGATGCCCTTTATCACCACTACTCTTTAATATCGTGCTGGTCTTAGCCAGAGCTATAAGGCAACATAGATAATGAAAAGCACACAAATTGACAAAGAAGTCAAACTTTACTTACAAATGATATGATCTATACACAGACAATCTCAAAGTCTCCGCATCATGACAGAGCATAAAATCAACATATCAAAAAAGTATGTCAGCTTCCTTTATACTATCAAAGAGATCTTTGAGCAGGAGATCAGGAAAGTATACTATTTACAATAGCCACTCAACAGTAATAAATAAGCCACCAGAGAAATAAAATACATGTACAAAGAAGGCTACAAAACACTACTATATAAAAAAACCAAAATGCATCTACATAAATGGAAGAATACACCATACTCATAGATAAACTAAAAAAAAATGCCATTCAGTTTATTCCAATTCATAATGACCCCTTAGAACAGGGTAGAACTGTTCCTATGAGATCCTGAAGCTATCTATCTTTAGGGGTGCAGAAAGACCCATCTTTCTCCTACGGAGCAGCTGGCGAGCTTGAGCAGAGCTAGTTTCAGCAGCCAACGCACAACCCACCACACCACTAGAGCGCCTTAGCTCATGGATAGGAAGACAGTGTGGTGAAAATGTCAGTAGTAGCCAAAGAAACCTACAGATGAAATGCAATCTTAATCTAGATCACCATACAGGACAGATCAACTCCTCAAGACCAATATTGAGAGTAGCCATACCAGGAGGGTAAGAGGAAGGTGGGAGGAGAAAGGGGGAACTGATCCCAATAACCTACCTATAACCTCCTCCCAGAAGGATGGACAACAGACAAGGGGGCAAAGGGAGACAATGGATAGTGGAAAATATGAAAAAAAAATTTATAATTTATCAAGGGTTCATGAGGGAGGGAGGGAGGGGAAAAATGAGGAGCTGATACCAAGGGCTCAAGTAGAAAGAAAATGCTTTGAAAATGATGATGGCAACATATGAACAAATGTGCTTGACACAATAGATGGATGTATGGCTTGTGATAAGAGTTGTATGAGCCCCCAATAAAATGATTTATAATAAAAAATTATTTGAAGAGAGAAAAAAACTACTCAAAAGCTTTATATGGAGAGATTCCCTTAATAAGCAAAGCATTATTAAAAGAATAAAATGAGAGTCTTCTCATTTCCTGATCTCAAACATAGCCACAATAGTCAAAATAGCTTGGTACTTGCACAACCATAGATACATAGGCCGATGAAACAGAATTGGGAACCCAGAAGTAAATCTATTCACTCACAGCAGCCAATATTTGACAAAGGGCTAAATTAAATGGGGGAAGAGATCATCCAAAAAAAAGCTCTGACCATTCTGCAAACACCCTTTTGCAGAAGAATGAGACAGGACGCATATCTCACACAGTACTAGAATGAACTAAGGATAGATCAAAAAGTTAAATATAAAATTGAAATCATAATGTTCACCTCTGAAAAAAATAGAGACAAATGCAGGGGCTCTAGTACATGGCACAGATACAGTAGCAATGAAAAACCCATAAAACACAACGTAATAAAAACACACAAACAGCAGAAGACAAACTACATGACTGGGCCCCCCTAAAAATTAGACACTTATGTACATCAAAAGATTCCACCCAAAGAGTTTAAAGAGAACCACAGACTGGAAAAAAAATTGGGGGATGTGGTCATCACCTAATCTGGTGTCAATTCACGGATTAAGAGCATAGGGGTGGAGTCTAGGCTGTCAATCTGGAGATAGCCAATGAGATTTCTGTGGGCATTGCCTTCTCCTGAGAATTCTGGGAAATCTGGTACTTCGTCCTTGGAGGTCGAAGACACCTCTCTCTCTCTCTCTGCTACTCCCTGGGAGACACTGCAGAAGACAAGCCACATGGATGCAAGCAGACCTCTGAAGCCGGAGAAGCCACAGAGAGACCCCTGTCAGCACTGAGATGCTTACAATGCCACTGGACTCAAAGACTTTCTACCCACTGGCTTGTGATCGTCCTGCATTTGGCTTCATTGCAAGTGTTTCGTGAGTCTGAAGAGCACTTTATAGATTGGTGTCGGACATATGGGCTAATATCAGACTTATGGCCTTGGACAGGACTGGGCTGGGATGTTTTCTCAATGTTCAATCGCTCTTGTATATTAATCTCTTTCTTATACACATAGGTGTGTCCATGGATTTGTTTCTCTAGTCTACCCAGACTAGCACAGAGGACTAATATCTACAATTTATAGAAAGCTTCAAAACTTCAACAAAGAAAAGATAAATAATCCATGACCATGAACAGACACTGCATAAAAGAAGACATTCAGGCAACCTAGAAACAGATGGAGAATTGCTCAGGATCATTAGTAATTTGAGAGTTGGAAATCACAACAAAAATGAATTCACTTCACCCCGACATCAATAGCAACGTCCAGAGAAACAGAAGATAACAAATGCTGATGAAGGTGTGGAGAGACTGGAACCCTTTTATTCGCCTGGCGGGATTGTAAAATGCACATTGGAATAATCAACCATTTAGTATCCCCAAACAGTATTTACCCGGGGGTAAAGTCCATATAGTTGGGAAAGATGGATGAAAGGAAACAGGAAACCCAAGGTGAGTGACGTTAAGTGACGCTCCATGGAAGGAACTGCAGAGGATGAGTTGACCCAACCCATGTGGGAGACCCAACACGTGTGGGAGACCCAATCCATGTGGGAGATCCAACACGTGTGGGAGACCCAACCCATGTGGGAGATCCAACCCGTGTGGGAGATCCAACACGTGTTTGAATTGTTGAGCGTAAAACGGATGGATCTGCTTAACAAACCTTCACCCAATTCACAATAAAGGTTTTTAAAAATAAGAAGGTTTAAAAAAATGAAAGAAAGAAGAATTGTGCTGGGCACTGTGTTTGTGTGTGTGTGGTCTGTCTTGGCTCAGGACCTCTGGTAATGCAGTGTTTCAGCACTCAGCTAGTCACACAAAGGTTAGTGGTTCAAACCCACCAGCTGCTCAACTGGAGAAAGATTAGACAGTGTCTTCGCAGAAGATTTTCTGCTTCTGTAAAGATTTACAGCCCTGGATACCCTAATGGGGTAGTCATACTCTGTCCTATAGGGTCGCTATGTTTGAATTAAATTGACAACAATTTTGGTTGAAGTTATAACAGAGAGAGATGGAGGGGGAGGGGGGTTGAGAGAGAGCAAGAAGTGGTAGCCAAGAACTGGTAGCAGAACCAAGAGATTGGCTGGAGATGGCACGGTGGGTTTCCTAGCTTGTGGATCTAGAAAGCTGAGTACCTTTGGGCAAGAGGGGTGGGGTGCCTTTGGGTACTTATTAGCTGAAAGAACTTTGTAATACTTGCCCCAGCAGTGTAGAGATTGGGCAAGCCCTACAGAGCTCTGGGGAACAAGAACCAGAGAGATGCATGCCTGTGCCACGCCCCAGAAGAGGCTGTCTTGACAGAAGGACTATATCTTGCACATTCCTGAACCTGAATTGCAACCTGTATTTCCCTAATAAACCCCATACCTGTGAATGTAGTCATACAAGGAGTTCTCGAGTAGGGAGTGTCATAGGAAGAACAGCTGGTATGTGAAAAATGGGAGAGAAGAGGTCCGTCTGACCTCTGTGCTCAGGCTGGCAAGGATTCTCCCTCTTCCTCTTGAAGCTAGAGAGGTCCGACGATGCACTACAGAACCTTTACAGTGGTTTAAGAAGTTCATCAACCACTAACAATAGGAAGTAAAACATTCCTGGGGTCAGGAAATTCACAGTAAAGGTTTTTAAAAGTAAGAAATAAAACCCAATATGTTCCTAGGAGTAGATGGATCTATAAACAAACAAACAAAAATTAAATATAAAAACCTTGACTTACAGCAGTACCCTCTTCTCCCAGGTAGCCACCACTGCCTTTAATACCTGGCAGTCCCTGGAAATAAGAAATGGAGGAACATTAGAATTCCACCGATTGCCAGCAGAGGTAGTCTAGCAAATTTCTTCAAGTTTACAGTTTTACCTCATATGGAATATAAGTATTGGAAAATCCATTCTCCTACTTCCAAATCAACTCTCTCAGGGGTTATTCACAGGGCTGAAGTGTCTTTTAAGACACACAGCTATATTTGTCTCTGATAGACTAGAATGATAATCTTTAATGAAAACATTTGTGTTAGGATGTGCACTACACACAGAATAATGGACCACACATATTTTCCTGCCCCACCACCATTCTCCGTGAACCTTGTTTTGTTTTTTGAATCTACTTTTATCTTTACATGGGGCTAACACATTCAGGAATTAATTGGTGTAAAAACTTTCTTTGAGGCAGCTATGGTGATTTGGAAGCTATAGTGGCATCTATAAATTATTTAAATAAGTTAAACACACATTTTAGCAAGCAGTATTGAAATCATCATTAAACATTTCCATTGCATGTTCATACATATTTCAACATTTGCTAAAGGCCACAATCATGTTTTTACATAGGTACATAAGCTTGTTTTGGAGGGGCTGTTATTTAATATATGAATCAGTTTGGTTATTGTATTTTTGATAACTGGCTTATTTTTGCTTGTATGTCTGTGACAATATTTTGACCTCATATAACTGAATAGCATATCTCAGCATCTTTTGCTCTCATGGGGTGAACGTCTTTCTCTAGCATGGTTTTTAGCAGAATAGACACAATGTTTTCTACTTGTCATTGGATAGCCATGGCTTCACAGCTATAAATTTAACATTGGAAATCGAGATGAGCTATTGCTCCTGTAGAGGCTTCCATCACTTAGCAGGAAGGATCTCCGTTGAGTTTTAAGCCATCAATGTCACTACTAGAACTCCGCATCCTCAAGGCTCCTGGTAGTTGTTTCTCCTACAATGTCCAGGAAAACCTCTGAAAGAAGACTCTTCTTTTGAATGTCAAGAAAATCCATGCCTATCTGATTTGACATGGAAAAGGAGGAGTGAAGCAAGCATTGGCTACACAGCCTCTACCTAGATGTGAAAATCACCTCTTAGTCTCCAGAACCCCATTTCTGAAGGATATACTGCATTCAACTCAAGGCAACCATGAATCCGAAGTGCATCACCTTATTCCCAGGTGGTCCAGGAGCTCCCCTTGTGCCATCTTCTCCAGTGCACTTGCAGAACAAGCAGCAGCACGTTCTTTCGGCGACGTTGATCTTGGGATGAGGGAGGATGGGAAATACATTACACATGGTGCCATCGCTTCCTAGATCGTGCACATGCAGTTAACCTATGGTTGAGACTTGTACTGGAACTTTACCATGACTGTAGAGTGAGAAACCTCTTTACCATGACTGTAGAGTGAGGGGCAGTCTGAGGCTGTGGTTGTTACATAATCCTGTGTCAATTTGAGGATTGCTAGTGTAAGGATGGAGTCTAGCCTGTCAATCAGGACACAGCCAATAAGGCCTCTGTGTGGGCATGACTTTCTCCTGAGGATTCTGGGAGCTCCTGTATTTCCTCCGTGGAGGCTGGAGACACACACTCTCTCTCTGTTCCCTGTGAGACATCCCTGTCGAGAAGACACATAGAACTAAGCCAGTGCCCTGAGCTGGAGGAACCACACGGAGACCCCTATCAGCACTGAGATGCTTACACCGCCACTGGATCCACAAGATTTCCCACCCACTGGCCTGTGATCTTCCTGCATTTGGCGTCATTGCATGTGGTTCATGAGTCTGAAGAGGACTTTATAGATTAGTATTGGACATATGGGCTAATATTGGACTGATGGACTTGATCTGGACTGGACTGGGATGTTTTAATGTAAAATTACTCTTTATATAAAGCTCTTTCTTATACACTTATGCATGTTTATGAATTTGTTTCTCTAGTTTACTCAGACTAACACAGAGGCCTTCTCCATCGTTCCTCCTGTGATCTGCATCCAGACCATTTTAGGAATTCTGATGAACACAATGAGGCGTTTTGTCTGATGCACCCTATTCTAATAGATTACTGTGATTCTCTGTCTCTACCCAATACCAACATTGACCATGGTGCCGTCTATGACCCTACATGATTTTACCTCCAAACACTTGGTTGAGTGAAATGCACGCATGCTATTGCTTCTGCTTTCTTTTTGTGACGTTTAGGCGCTAGAAGGATTTAGAGAGTTCCTGTAACACTGCTGGAACTGAGTTCAATGGTAATTACTTCCAGAACAGTTTGTTCATGATATTATTTCAAAAATACAAATGATGTGTCTAAATTTTTGGAAGTACTTGCTATAGAGGGTGGGCGTATAGGATGAATACTCTTCTTTATACTCTGGCCAAAGCTGTGTATTTAAAATTTCATCCTGAAATAGCTGGAACATTTCATTGGACTTTTGCAATTAACCTCTCACATTTATTTGCAGGAGAATTTCGCCCGTAGTAAATGCTATGCTTCACTTTAGTGGGGGTAGAATCAGTCTTTGTGTTGAAAAGTTTCCCCTAAAAGTTCTAGTGTGAAGACAAGATAGAAATCACTTGCGATGATTACACATTTTCTCCCTTTAATTGTTCCCTCTTACATACATGTCTTCTTAAAACATGATAAAACTATCTTTCTTTTCCTGAAATTTTCATCAAACCAGTAAAACTTAAAATGGATTCTGAGACCTCATACTGGATACTCCAAATGTCTTGGGAGTTCCAAAATTCTCTAGCACCACATCTATTACTGTGATTATGCAAGCTGATCTGTGACTAGTCCTGAAATTGATCTTAACCTCTCTTCTACAGGGTTTCATTTACATGATAGCTACAAATGAACAGTCATGTCTGAAGAGAAACTTCCTTCTTGCATGAGTTGTTGGGAGGTGCCACGGAGTCAGTAGCGACCCACAGCACAGCAGAGCGAAACCCTACCAGGCCCTGCGCCAGGCTCACAATGCTTCCCACGCTCGAGCCCTTTGTGGCAGCCACTGTGCCCCCCCATCTCCCTGAAGGCTTTCCTCTCGTTCGCCGCCCCTCCACTTTACCAAGAACGCCGTGCTTCTCCAGGGCCCGGTCTCATCACCAAAGCAGATTTCAACACGGAGTAGACAGAAAACAGAACAATTTAGTACTATGTCTTCCCCTAGGAGCTCTGTGGTTACGTGCTACCAACCACAAGGTCAGCAGTTTGGAACCACCAGCTGCGCCGAGGGAGAACGAGTGAGGAGGCTCTTTACTCAGGTGAAGATGACACTCTTGGAAACCCACAAGTGCAGTGTGACCCTGCGCTCCAGGAGTCCAACTTGACTCAGTGGCGGTGAATTTGGTTGGGATGTGTTCCCCACCTAGGAAAGAAGCACCAGCAACAATTCCATATTCCGTAAGTTATTATGTTAATATTTGTGTGTATTTAAGGAGCCCTGGTGGCATATTGGTTATACGTTGGGCAACTAACTGCAAGGTCAGCAGTTTGAAACCACCATCCGTTCTGAGGGAGAAAGACGGGGCTTCTACTCTGGTCCAGAGTCACAGTCTCAGAAAGTCACAGGGCAGTTCTACCCTGTCCTACAGGGTTGCTAGGAGTTGGTATCAATCTGATGACAGTGAGTTTATTCATTTTTATATTACGTTAATGTTTATGCATTGCTATACTGATCAGAGTGTGTGTAAGTAGCTATTTATATGCAAATTCTGTAGGTGGACAACTGCAACCACGAGTGCTTCATTCAAGATCATTCAGATATCCTCAGAACAGGCTTCCCGAGCTGTCCGCACAGTGCACCTTACTAACCACGCTGACAACTTATTCACGTGAAAGCAGTGCCGCAGCGCTTGGTAGCACCTCCCCACCCTGGTTTGAGGGAGTTTTTGAAAGACACGTGATTGAGAAACATTTGATTTAGGCATTGCTGTGGTTCGGTGCCTTGTTATCATTTCTAAAAATAAACCAACCGGCAAAAATCTCAATTTTTAAGGCAACCCTTAAAAATCCTTCCATTGCCCAAAGTACAGCAGCCTATCACGCCACCATCACCATGCTTGGTGGGACTGATTGCCTTTTTCCCAGTTGGACCCCATATGTGACTGGCTCTCATGTCCAGTCCATGTTGTCGGGGAACCAGGCATCTTAAACACAATAGTTAAAAACTCTGTGGTGAGATGTGAAGGAAGTTTATGCTCTACAAGGGATGTGACAAGGGGTTGGCTGAAAGAACAGCCCGTTCAGAGCTTGCCATCCTGAGTTCTCTGGCACTTCCTACACTCACCTACTGGAATTTGGGCAGGATTCCAGGTGCTATTTAAATAATTTTTCTTAGTCCTTTTTTTCTTTTATTTTGCTCAGCCTATAATTTAACATGCTTTGCTACTCCCCTCTAGATTACATTTCTTTCAGACACCTTCTTATTTAGTTGTTCATTAATTTTGAAAAATCATTCTTTGCTCCCAAATGAGGAGAATTCATTCAAGGTCATAAGCATAAATATCAAATATACATATAAAACTAATAGACCATTTAACTTCACCAGCCCTTTCTAAAATAACTTACGAGATGCTTTGACAGCTGACTCCCAAGATCTCTCATTCCAACCGTCAGCTGTGTCCTGTACTCAAATCCTCTCCCAAACTCAATGGACAGAAGATTGTCCAGGTCGCCTGCACGAGCCGCAGGTCCATCCAGAGCCACAGTGATGAGCGCATTTAGGCCTAGACAGCACAGTTGAAGAGGTGTCAGTTATACGTGACCATAGCTGACCATTTGCAATTCCCTAGGAGAGGCGGGATTGTCATTCCAATTTTTGTGTACATGGATTTACATTGGTTTTCGAGGATTTGTTATCCTAGTGACAGAAAGAGCTCTCCTTTTATTGTCCATTCCACCCACCTATGTTTCAAGAACAGAGGACCAGAGGAGTTGTGTGATGAGATCAAGAACGTCATCCCTGAGGCAATCAAAGGTCATTTAATAAGCCGGAAGGAAACAAAAGATCAAAGTGGATGTCAGAAGAGACTGAAACTGGCTCTTGGTCCTCGAGGGACGAAAGCAAATGGAAACGATGATGACATTGTAAAAAAGGGAACAGGAAATTTCAAAGAGCAGCTGCACAAGACAGAGTACAGTCTCATCAAAGGTGCAATGGCCTAGAGTTGGAAAACCAGAAAGAAGGACACACTCAGCATATCTGGAGCTGAAAGAACTAAAGAGAAAACTCCAGCCTTGAGTTGCAATCTTGAAAGGTTCTATGGGAAAATTACAGAACGGTATTATTTCTTTTAAACAAAACAAAACAACACCCTTCCCTGCTATTGAGTTGCTGCCAATTCATAGTGACTCTACACGACAGGGTAGATCTGCCCCTGAGCTTCTGAGACCGTCACTTGTCTTTCTTCCTCAGAGCCGCCAGTGGTTTGGAACTGCTGAACTTGCCCTTAGCAGGTCAACGCCGAACCCCTACACCACTAAGAGGACTCCTATAAGTGAGTTATAAGATCTTAAATTCAATCTCTTAAATTTCCTAGAAATTATCTAAGGGGAAACAATTTCAAAAATTGGGAGAACAAAGAATCGCTGAGTAGATTCTAAGGTTTTACAGTTAAAAGATTAGCAAATAATTTCAAACTTCAATTTACACAGAAACATTCTAAAAAGCCCCATCTATCATCCAGGACCCTTTCTTCCTTCTCTCTTGTCCTTGGGTGGTTGCACAGCTCGCCGGGATACAGACATGCCTTCAGATTAGGGAGGTTCAGCTAGGCCACTATACCATAAGGCACAACGCCAACTCAATCTATACGACAAGGCTGGGCTACAGGTATTTCTGGTTCATTTCATCAGAATCTCTGAGAGCCATACGATGATTTTCAAAAAGCATCATAATTGTCATTTCTCATATTTGAGTAGTCTTAATTTGGGGGGAGAGTGTTAAAAATCGGCTTCTGAAATGGAAATTCATCTCTTCTATGTTCCTTGTGGTTTGCAAGAAAGAGGATGAAGACTGGTTTTTAAAACCTAGCTATTCCTGCTCAGAGGGCTAATGTTGTGTGCACGTGCTCTGTTTCCCCTATAAAAGGAAAGCTGAAACACACAAACAAAAAAACAAACAGAAAAAAAAGAAAAACCTGCCATGATGGGAAGCACCTGGCTTACGGAGTTCAGGAGGTCCGGGGCAGGTGGCCAAGGAAGAACAGAGCACTCCTCAAAGTCTCCAACTACACCTTTTACCTCTTTGGAAAGCCCAGACTCCAGTGAATCGTGTTCACACCATCCACTTAGCACTGTTTAGAGCAGTGGTTCTCAACCTTCCTAATGCCGTGACCCTTTCATACAGTTCCTCAACCATAGCATTATTTTCATTGCTACTTCATAATTGTGATTTTGCGACTGTGCTGAATTGGGTGACTCTTGTGAAAGGGTCATTTGACCCCCAGTGGGATCGTGACCCACAGGTTGAGGACCACTGGTCTAGCATCACGAATGACACCGCAGCATGGCTGCCATTGTGGGGAAAGGATCTAAAGGTTTGCACTCCACCTGATGCTTAAGGCTAACGTGGGGCACAACCTTCCAGGTGTGGCAACAGACATTGGCCAAGGGCAATTCTCCAGAGAAAGGAGAAGCCGCGTGTTGTCAGGAGCCACACAGCGACTGGGGGGTGGGTGGGGGGTGAACTTGCTACAAAGAAGGATATGGGTAAGTCACTAGTAGCACCCACTGAGAGGAGAGTCCTTCTGCTCTTAAGCAACCAGCACACTTGGATGCATTTTTGCTTCTCCTGACCCATAATTTAGTGAAGACTGACCTGACCCCAAGTTCCAAGGACCATTGGCGCCTAGAGGAAAGCCTGAGGGCAGGAGCTCCAAAAACTCATAAGCACATTCATTGTTCCAGCCGTGGTGTGAAGGAAACCCAAACCGAAGGCATTCTGTTGAAACCCTGCTGCACCAAGTATAACTGCCCCCCAGGGCTTGCTTCTGTGTTTATAGGCGCAGGCTCCCCATTTCTTTCTCCCACTTCAACCACCAACTTTCTGGTTAACAGCCAAACACCTCAATGTTCAGCCACCAGGGGCTCCTTTGGTCTGAAGGAAGGAGCTTATTAAAAGGCTCCTTTCAGAAGTAAACTTGTCCAACAATACTTGCACCTCTGGAAACGTTAAGAGTATTAGAGGAAAATAAATCTAACACCTGCCCTTTTAGTGCAGGGAAATGGGCTTTCCACTGTGGCACTAAGCCAGTAATAATATTCGATAATGGGGGCCAAGGGGGATGAGAACACGGCCCAGGACAACCTAAGAAGAAGAAACACTGTCATGCAAGATAGGACAGACTCTGTATTTGTTGTTCTCTCATACATGCAGGGCATGAGGCAGAAATAGACATCAAAGTGTCCTGAGATTTCATTTGCTTTGCCAAGTGGATACAGAGTAGAGAGGTAAGAAAATTCAAAGGTTATTGAAGAACCAGAGCCGAGTGCTAAGATGATAAAGTTAATAAACACTCCTTTCTCCCTACCCAACTGGACCCCGCTCCATACAACACACCTTCTTTTCTGAGCTCATCAGACTTTTGTTCAAGCCTTTCAACCTCATCATCCAATCCATCAGAAAATAAGATCACCACCTAAGAGAGCATTAACAAAGGGAAAGATGAGTAAAAATGAAGACCACTGCAACCACTGACCAACAAGTACAGTCAAAACCAGGTTACCTTTCCTCGGGCGGCTGATTTATTCTGAAATGTGTCCCACAGTGAACCCAAGAGATCTGTGTTGAGAAGAGCTGGTTCTTCAATTGTTAACCCCTTCAGGCTGTGCAGGATATTTTCACTGTAGATCTCAAACTTAGGCGAGTACTTTTCCATGGCATTTGTCACTTGGAAGGCTATGCTCACCTTAGTCTCTGTCCCCACCTCACAGCTTACCCCATTGAGGGAGCTGATGGCACGTAAAATGTCTAGAAGATAAGTTCTCATCCAAGACTGGTCTTCAAGCAAGTTCTGTCCTTTTGGCTGGGTTGAAATGTCAAATCCCACCACAATGTCCACAAAACAATCTAGGATTCAAAAAATAAGTATCAGTTATTAGAATAATGAACCCCTGTGCTTGGCTCACAGGCAATGACTGATTCAAGGGGCCTGGAACTCTTTCTATCCCAATTATAAACCTGGAAAATAAGAAGAGGCAAAAAGTCAGGGCTGGAAAAGGCGGAGAATCACTCTTTTATTGTCTGGAAAAGTGTAACTATGCACTATCTTTGAAAACTGGTATAAAGTCTCAATAATTCTGTAACAACTAAAGTTCTGAAAGATTTTATTGAGGTCATTGGAAAAGTCATGCAAAGCTACTTAAATAGTACTAAAGTATATCTCAAGAGCCCTGGTGTAGTGGTTACAAGTTGGGCTGCAATTCACATGGTTGGCAGTTCAAAACCACCAACTTCTCCATGGGAGAAAGACTGGGCTTTCTACTTCCATAAACAGATATAGTCTCCTGGAAATGCACAGGAGGTTACTGTGAGTCAGCTCGGACTTGATGGCTGTGAGTAAATACATCCTAAGAACATTAATTGTCTAAAATAAGAAAGTAATTTCATGCTGTTTATCAATTGAGGTCATTCAGCAAATAGTAAAGTATAACAATTATAGGGCAAAGGTAAAGGTTTTGAATGGCGAAACTCATTTAAGAACAAGTGAATCACAAAGTACTTGTCTCAAGGAAAGGTCTTTTATAGTTTACCTTTCTACAAAAAGTCTCTGAATCTCCTTTTGCCCAATCCAGAAAAGAAAACAGTAATTAAAAAATTAAAATCCAAGAGATCTTTTGAGATCTTACTTGGTTTGGGTTCTAGAAGAGAAGAAACTAGACACTTAATATTCAACCATGTCAAATATGGTGCTGAAATACTCAAAGTGAGGGTGCATTAATCATGTTTTTCTTTCATTTATATTCATTCTGGGGAAATTTAAGCATTTTTGACGCTTGAAGGGGCTTGATATTTTGAATTGAGTCTCTTAAAGGCAGAAAATTAGAGAAGAACAAAGTCTGAAAATCCATTTTAATTCTCCTGAAATCCAGATTTCTGGAGAGACACACCGGGCCATTGCTTGAGGCCTTTTGAATGTGAAGCTTGAGGAAACTGGGTCCCTAACATCATCTTGAAGGCAAACAGTGGCCCAGGAGATAAGATAACAAAGACTGTTTTGCATTGGGCATTGGGCTTTTTGGAAGAACTATATGCAGTCAGTTTTCAGGAATAGAAATTCCATTATAAGACCAGAACCTGTGATTTAGGGTTAATTATATAAATACTGTTCCAAACTCTTTTCCATAGTAATGGGGATAAGGTGGGGTACAAAACTTGGGGAAAGTGGGGCAAAAGTAAAATAAATCTTAAAAAGTTTGGAAGTTATTTTCTCTTTAGAATGTTTTTATTTCCCAGTCAAAATGTTATCCCAATTTCAAAATTGTATATCGACTAAACTTTAGTTAATTTATATTTTTGTCTTACTATGTTTTTTAAAATTTTAACAAGTCATATAACATATACCTAACTCTTCCTTCAAGAATTTTCAGTTGCTTAAAAGCTCCAACTTTCTTAGGCAAACTCAATACATACGACTTGTGTGGCAAAATAATAAGTGTTTGCTTTCAACTTACTTTGTTAAGATCAACAGTTTTTTTTCAGGTAATTTTTACATAGAAAAATTTGCAAATCTTTTAAATCAAAATGCTAGGTTCAAGCCTTAAAACAAGGGCTGGTAATTTGGTTCATTTTTAAGAAGAAAAAAAATTGAGTGAGGGAAAATAAAAGCCTTGTTTGCTAATAAATTTCCCCCAAGATATTAAAGGTAAATCAACGTGTTATCAAAAAATTGGAATGATCAATCTCTTTATTTTATTAGAAAATAACATCTCAGATACTCAGAAAGCAAAGAGAATAAAGCCAATCAGATGGGAGCATGAGAATATGCCTTTTCAAAATACCTCTTAAAACCATATAACGTATAATGATCTGCCTTCAGATCAAAAGTTTCACTTTTGGACAAACTTTGTTCAAGCCTCTGAACATCATTCAGTAATCAAGATATGTTGCTGTCTTCAAAGAAAATAGCCTCTTATAAGGGGGGAAAAACATAAAATTATGCAGAAATGCCAAATTATCATGGAATGACCCTGGGAACAGTTTCCTATAAAAGTCAAATGTTTCAGTTTTTGGCCTAGATTGCTGAATTATAAATCCTACCTAAGTAATTTTCTTGTTTACTTGGCTAATTCCAAACAGATGAACTATTCACTAATAACGTGACCAGAAGGATGCTCTTTAGGCAATTCTTCCAGAATCAGCAGTCATATGTGTATATGCAATTCGAGACTTATACTGATCAAGGGACCCCTGATGGTGCTTTGTGGCCTGCTAACCACAGAGTTGGTGGCTCAAAACCACCAGCCAACCATGATAGAAAGCTCAGGATGTTTGTTCCCGTAAAGATTTCAAATTTGGGGAACCCTGCAGAGTGTTCCTATGAGTTGGAATGGACCCTGTGGCCATGAGCTTGGTCTTTGGGTGTAGCCACCGATCAAGCACCCTTGAATATTTTATGTAGACACTTCTCCATGAACAGATCTAGAGACTTCCAAGGCAGAGTTCATGTGTTAGAACAAAACTACCACAGGGGGTTAAAGATAACAGGAAGCAGGGAGAGCTTTGGAAGTGAGTTGCAGGGAGACACTTGAAGTCAAATTGCCAAAGAGAGATACTGAGGGACTGCACTGGAAGAGGAGGAATGGGGATTGGAAAAGGCGGTGAGGAATGCCACACCGGGGGGTGGGGGTGGGGGTAATCAATCTACAGGTTGGTTGGAGAGGGTGACGAAAGGAGACTTCAAAAAGAACTGACAGCAGTGTTCTGAGCTTCTGCCTCGTCTTCACCAAAATGCAGTGGGGGGAGCCCCGAGGGAGGAGAGAGGCCCTTGGGTGGAAAATACAAACAGTCCAGGTTTAGTCATGACTGGCCGTGACGCTGTTATTGCCAAATAATTTTGGCCAAATCACTTAACCTCTCTGGCGTTGTTTTCCTGGCTATAAAAATTGAGCTTATATATTTAAAGATAACAATTCACACAAACAAAAAAGAAGGGACTGGACTAGATAGTTGCAGTGTTTTAATTCCCTGCCAGGCCCAAGAGCTGGCTCTCATAATCTGACTTGTAAAGAAAGCCCATAATTAGCATTGCTGATGACAGCATTTTAGTGTGAATAAATGCTGTCAAGGGGCCAGGGTTTAAGAAGACAGGAGACTGCTAGTAAAACACCTGAAAGGGGAAACTAGGGGCGTTGGCATTAATAGATGGAATGGGAGAAAATGTGTTTGGGGGCCTTTGAAAGAAGGAGTATTGCAGATGAAAATGTGGAAGGATGATCTAGAACATAGTTAGGTTCTGTAAGGGACTGAGTTCAAATGCCTATCAGATTTTCCTGGCCCCCTCTCCCATCCCTAACCTCTCCTCCCCCTGGAATTTGGAAGCTCTGTTCCCTTTACCATTGCAGCACTGGATGGAGGATACTGTAGGTCCTATGTTTCCCAAAGGCGTTGGATAACACCATCCAGAAGGGTTGGAGAGTCAATTCTTTATGATACTTAGACCAATATGAGGCAGGAGAGGGAAGGAATTGGCAGAAAAACTCTCTCCTTTCTTCCCTGATGGAGTGTTCATACAGTGGTTCTACCTGGCCTCCCTGGCGATGTCTCCCATAATCAAGGAGCCAATTATACTCTGCAAAGAAGTTGTGCCTCATTTGGCCACACCTGACACGGCGTCTATTTTACCTCCTTCCTGCCTTACTTTCCTTCCTATCACTCTTACTTCCCTGGGAGTGCGCCTCTAGTGAAGCATCAACAGATACACTTGGCTTTAAGTTCTGTGTTCTAGAAAACAGGACTCAAGAGATTCTTGTCAAGAAAAGTTAGAAATCGCCAACTTTTTGCTTTCTTTTCTTTAATCAAATCCTGACATTCTCTTTCTTTTAATGCATCCTAATCCAATTGGCCTTTTGTTTAATCACCTTTTTGATTCATCTATTTGTCATAAAAGATGCAAATTAGGTAAGGGGTTCCTCATTGTTTTCCTACCTAATCATGTGTCCATGCCCAAAAGTCTTCCAAAATTCCGAAAATGCCCCAAAGTCCCATCTAAGTAGAGAGAGTAGCCAGGGGAGAAGACATATCTAAAAATTAAGCATGGATGAAGGTAAGCCAACAGACTTTGAAGCTTAGGTCCTTCGAGGAATTTGGCCTATGTGAACACCGAGAATCGCTTTGAAATGGTACTAAATTTTTAAGTTTCTGAACCCAAGAATTCTCAGTGATCATTAGTCTGTGAGCTAACTGCAGCTCATGAGAACAGTTTTGTAGACCAACCCCATCACTCCACATATTTGTATTGAAAAGATCATCTCAAAGAGCCCTCTGCAGCATCCTAAGATTGCACCTCCTACCCACGGAACAGTTCCCATGCACTTCTCATCGATGTGCTCACATAGCCTACGAAGCACAGAGTAGCTCGAAGCACCACCAGAGAACTCATTTGCAGAAGAGCAGCTGAGCCTTAGAGAAGCTCGTTGGAAAGCTCACAGTAAGGACATGACACTCTTGAGGTCCGGATCCAGGTCTGCCTGGCCCATGTCCTGTCTGGAGAGCCTGTGGTAACAAACAGATCATGAATTGGCCCAGTTCTGTTACTAGACTGTGCGGGTGGACGTTGTGTGGTTTCCTTAGGGAGCAGTGGTTTATGAGAAGAATTTTAGAGATTAAAAACCCATGATGTCTTAATCAGACGCAGCTATTGATTAGTGAGGCAACAACCCCAGATGCTAGTGTTTTATAACACCAGCACCAGAAGACCCAGCCAATTGCAAGAAAGCAGGCAGTTTGACCCAAGAACATGGGCTGCTGGAGTCAGATGAACAGGTTTAAAATTTGCTTAGCTTAGTATTAAGGTAGCAGAAGGACATTGGGCCTCCACTCAAGTACTCCCTCAACACAAGAATACTTTC